GCCACAGGGTGAAAGGGGAGGGGAGGAGGAGGAATGTGCCCAAAGCAAACCACAAAAATCTTTTGCTTTATCTAGTAACCACAAAATACTAAACGTCCAGAAAAAAGCTGCGGCCACTTTTTTTCAAGTTTCTAAAACAAAGATTTAAAAAAAAGAACTGGATTACGGAAAAGGATATCGGAACAAGAATACAAATGCGAAAAAAACAAAAATCTGACCACTCCCTGTCCGCTGAGGAGCTGGCACAAACACACGCACATACACGCACACACACACACACAAACACACACACAAAAACACACATACACAGACACACACACAAACACACACACTCACTCACACACTCACACACACACACACACACACACAAATACACATACACACAGACACACACACACAAACACACAGACACACACACAGACACACACAGACACACACATAGACACATACACACACGCACACACAAATACACACACGCACACACACGCACACACACACATACAAACACACACAAAAATACAACATATACACATACACACACACATTAAAATATATTAAAATCACAGGTTGTATGAATGCGTCACGCCGGCTTGCTCGATTAGTGCCAGTTGAGATTGGTCGACAAATTAGCTAGTAGAAACAGACAAAAACGATCGAATCGCGCAACATATCTGTGTTTCGCCTGTGGGATTGTCCAATAACATTACTAAGTTGGGATTTCCGCACCGATTGTGTCCGGACGGTCATGGTATTATTGGTATCCTAGATATAGAGAATGCCTGGTATCCAGGTATATAAAATGCATATTTTACTTCTCTGAAGCAAAAATTGCCAACCTGCAGCGCCGAATAACCATCGATCGCTGCTACCACAGATGAAACAACTTCATTGACGGCCATTTTTACTGCATCAATTTCGGCTGTGCATTTTTCATTCATTTTTGGTAAACCCTGACCTCGCTGGTGGCTTAAAATCAGCCCAATCACTTCGACTGTTTTTCCAAGACCCATTTCATCAGCCAAAATTCCACCTAAAATTTTAAAAAAATTAAAAAAAAACCTTAAAAAAACCTAAAATTTAAAAAAAATGCTCGTTAATAAGAGAAAAAATGCCAAAAAGTGAAATTTGTAATATTATAACATCCTCTATAAAGGGAACAATATCATTGCGCGAAAAAGAAGTGAAAAGTTTGATGATGAGAGGGATTTAAGTAAATTTTCAGTATTTATCATGCATTTTTTGCACCTCTCCGAACAGCGATGAGCATCAGAGTGGACGCGTTCGTACATGGGAACCACGCATACCTGGGGGTTGGGTTTGACCTCATCAATACCTACTTGAATGGGGAACATCTCGTTAAAATTTCAGCTTTCTAGCTTTTCTGGTTCCCGAGTTAGTAGTTGCGTTCATGCATTTTACAACAAAATTCTGTCCAGCGGACGCTTGTTGTTAAAAAATGTTCACTAATTTACTGTTTGGCAGGTGTAGAAATCGTCAGAAATGTTCTGATCGGCCAAAATTTTGATGTATCCGTACGAGGTGGGACTTAGGTATACATGGAATTTGTATCAAAAATTGTCGAAGTCGATTACAAGGCTAAATTCTTCTGAAATATCAGTTTTCTGCGTTGTTTGGTTCCAAAGCTGGAAAATTTTCCACCAAAATTCACATGTCCGTATATGTAAAACGTAGGCGTCTATGGAAATTGAATGTAAATTTTTTAGTATCGCATATGGGCATGTAATTTGTTCCTCAAATTTCAGTTTTCTAGCCTTTCTGGTTCCCGTTTTCATAATTTTCTCGCCAAAATTCCACGCATTCGTATGGAAGACAGCGTAAACGAAAATTAAACTTAAGTTTTACGAGGTCACACGCGACATGATCCTAAAATTTCAGCTTCCTAGCTTTTCTGGTTCTTGAGTTGAAAATCCAGAACAAAACGCACTCAGACACCCATATTCGCACATGTACACACACACATACACACATATACACACACACCCATACATATACACACACACACCCATACACACACAAACACATACACAACAGACAGGGTCGTTATAAACTTGTGCAGCATAAAACGCATAAAAAAAGACTACAAACCAGGGGGAATGCTGTATGAAGGTTTCTCTAAGCACAGCGACATTGCTCCACATGTCGGTGAGTAAAGAATTTTTGGAATTGTTGGTAAAATAATAAATTCATTTTCAATGTTTACTGTTGCCGGCCGACTGATGTCTTCACGTGAAATCATGAAACGTACTGCATCTTCCTGAACCAACAACAACTTTTTGCAAAAGATGACATGAAAGGGAGCATTTCTAATGTGAAAAATTGAAAAATCGAAAAAATTAAAAAATTGAAAAGTCGGAAAAATAAAAAAAAATCGAAAAAATTGTGAAAAATTTCTTCACAAGTTAACGAAATACTTATTTCCTAGCATTCACACAGTCAAATCTTCTATCTGATAAGGAAATCTTACGATCATCCTCACGAAAAACTACTTAAAACTAATTATTGTTCTCAACAAACTTTATTTATCCCCGTCCTCCTATAGGAACAATATTTTCCACCTCCCCTTTTCCCTCCCCCACTTTCCCTCCGCCTCCTTCTCCCCTGCCCCCTTTCCCATCAATTTCTGTCTGTCGCTATATAAGTAGTAAGAAGGTACATTAACAGCTGAAATAAGAAGAATCGAAGAGAAAGGCGGAAATAAGAATTACGAAATTCGTAAAATTACTGAAATTATTTTAATAAAATTATTATAATGGTAAAAAATGTTTCGATCCATTAAGCTGTATACATTTCTTACCATTACCACAATTGGACCTCGTCAGTACGACGACTGTAGTAACTGTAATTAGTATAAAGTCTGTTTGACAGATCGACTTCGGTAATGAATTTATTTGTGCAGAGAAATCACATGAGCAAGCAAACCTGGTATGGTCTGAGCACTGCCACAATATCGGTGGTACAGATTTCCCAGTTTACCGGTGTTTCATGGGGTAACGAATTCAGAAAACCTTCCACATTTTCCGTTTTCCTTGCTTCTTTTCCTTGCGCAGGACCCTTGTATGGGACCTAAAACTTTTTTTATTTGATCAGTATACCCGCTAAAGCATCGAATATACGGTATCAAAGTGCCAAAAATCAAAAAAAAAAGAGCAGAAGACTGGTACTTTTGCTAGAACCTGTCGCGCAAGATCACTGGCAAGGTGCCAAGTACACAATGACATCAAAATAACCTTTTAATAATTAGTCGTCGCACGAAAAGCAGCAACAATTTGGGCTCCATGCTTATTTCCCCCTTAATTTTTAGCACCAGCGGGCACACACAGCACATACACATATATTACATACATACATACATACATACATACATACATACATACATACATACATACATACATACATACATAATAAGAATACATACATACATACATACATACATACATATATACATACACATTAATTACATACATACATGCCCGTATACAGGTATAAATATATATGCACGCATACATATATGCAGACATATACATACACACATACATAAATACGTGAATATACATACATCAAATATGCACATGTACATACACGCATACATTCACATACGCACGTGCATATAAACACACATACATAAACACATATACATACATACACACACACATGCACACACACACACACACATACACACACACACACACAAAGTAGGCAGGCAAAGTTATGGCATGATTTTTTACTTACGAATGTATTACAAAATTTTCTTCACGACAATTTACTGGGGAGAAAAAAAAAACAGCCAGCAGGAGTCAGCTGAGACATAGATAAACAAATAGACAAAGAAAAATCAGATTTTTCCGACAATATATGATAGATTACATGGAAAAACAAAAAAAAAAAAAGAAAAAAAGAGAGCTTACCAGTTCCGGGAAAAATATAGCGAAAATAGATTTGACATCCACTGCTTCCCTCATATTAAAATATATAACTTCATTGCTCAGAGCTATTCGCTTTACGTAAAAAGTAAAAACCAATCCACCATCGTCACTGGCCTGCCCGGTTAATTCGAATGAACGCGTAGATCTGAAAAAAAAAAAAAAAATTTGTGCATTACAGCAATTTCGGAGATACCCTTGGACGTTTTTGCATTGCATAGAGTGAAACTGACTTACTTTATACAGGAAAGTTTCGAAAACATCCATGCCGTTGTCTCGTCCAATTTTCCAAAAGCATGAGGCCATGCATCACTGTCATGCAGCCATTTCTGTTGCAATCTT